GAGATTAAGATAATGCATTTGAAATTCCTTTGAAAATCTTCAACTATTCTGTTAGCCAGGTAGAGATATTATTATTATTCCCCTCAGTAATATGAAGCATGTAATGGGTTCACTTTGGCACTAAGGATACCTCGAGGCATTAATAATGGTAATTCTTCTCCTTTGTCTCTCCCCTAGCACCTTTCTTACAGGACCTGTCTTAATGAAAACTGATGGGCGGGGGCAGCCTTAATGAAGAATTTAATAATGGCTGATTGATTTAGTGACAAAGGGAAATTGCTTGCTGTTGTGCTGCTCAATGTGATGCCAAGATGCCAGTTTTTCCCTGTCAGACTAAAAGAAAGGTTTGGAAAATAGGAAAGAAATGACCTGTTTGTGATTTACGTTGCTCTTAGCACTGATTGTAAGCTGTGGTACAGGGTGAGATACTTTGAATCTCAGGATTGAAGCACAGAACAGGTAGCCACCCAGAACCTTTCAAGAAACTCCCCTGTTCCTGACTGTACAAGTAGGAAACAGAAGTGGGTGTCAAAGTTTTCTCCACCTAATCTTTGTTCAAAGTCCACTCCACTCTTTCTTTCAAGAGCAATGGTCTACACTTTTGTGTAGGCTGGTGTCCCACTTTTAAAATCCCTTAATTGGTGTTTTTATTTCTTCCTTTTCTACATGCTACTTATCATCCTCTCCAAGTTGATTTCAGATTCAGGCTCTACTTAATGCTATTTTGGGAAGCACAGCCAGGAGTTAAGAGCTGCATAAATGTGCTAGTTTGTTCCAGCATACAAGAGAAGAGTAGCATTGGTGGAGCGCCTGTAAATTGGGGTGTAAACCCAAGGCAGAAACATGTGAATCACTTATTGTACTGACACTTCATAAATTGTAAAAATAAAAATAATTTCAAAGAGTAGAACTATGGTAGGGTTTCTGAAGAGATGAAATTCATAAAATGCTCTATTTTTTTGGAAGATATTTTATGGAATTTAGCAAGATCTCTTTTAATAACGTTCTACTTAGGAAGAGCCTGCTGAGCTGCTGATGGGAGTAACGTGACATGTTTGACAGCAGAGGACTGGGGTGTCAAGAGGGTTTTGACCTGCCCTTTGAATACTGTAAGCTAGGATGCTTTTATGTTTCTTTCCTTAAACTTGTACATTCATATGAATTATATAAATGTCATTTAACTCTTTTTTTTTGAGTAAGATAATAAATTTTAAAACTTAGTGAGATTTACTCTTGAAAATGTTGTAAACCTGCTTTTTTTTCATGGCCGATCCTGGAATTTACCTTATTTTAGATACTTCAGAATAATAATATACATATAAATTTTCTCTTGGCTTGGACAGTTTTATAGAACCGTAAGTAAAATGTGTTAGCTAAAACAAGTTGCTTCTTATTTTGAGCCCTTACTAGTGTAATGATTTATTTTTTTCTATGTGCAATGCATCATCCTTCCAAAACTTATTTCAGATTCAAGTTTTACTTAATGCTACTTTGATATTAATGATATTTGGTATTTTTGTAAGAAACTCAAGAATGATCACAATGAAAGAACAGTTCTAAGTTGGACTTTTCTAATTTTTAATTTTCTTGATCATGATGTTATTATAGACTTTAGGAATTAGAATGAATATTTTTTTTGAGGAGGGTCCACATTTAACCAGAAATATACCTCTTTTGCTCCAACTTCCCAGTTTATGTAGGTTTATAAGCTTTTGCTTGTGACACAGTGGTTGGCTATTAAATTTAAAAAGGAGATAGGCAGGGCCCAGTGTGACTCTGTTGATTGGGTGTCATCCCAGAAAGCAAAGGGTCACTAGTTTAATTACTGGTCAGGGCACATGCCTGGGGTGTGGGCCAAGTCCCCAGGTGGGGTGTATATGAGAGGCAACCAATTGATGTTTCACACATCCATGTTTCTGTCCCTCACTTTCCTCTTCTCTGAAACTAAACAAAATCTTTAAAAAGAATAAAAGAAAAGGGAGATATGTCAGCCACAAAGCAACAGATAAAGGTATTCAGCCATATATACTTCATAGGCTTAAAGGCAAATATGTAATGGAGTTCTACAATAAGTTTTATTATCTTATATATTTAGAAAGTATTTTAGGATGCCATATTCATATTATTATAAATAGTCTGCACATCATCCAAAGTTTTAAAAGAACCTGTTGAACTTTGCCTTTTACAATAGTAATAAGTTATCTAAAGGTCATCAAGTTTTAAAGTAGAATGTAAAAACAAATATCCTTCAGTTCTGAGGATACCTTACCAAGTATATCCAGGGTCATACAGCTAATGAGGGATGGGGAAGAAATTTATCTTGACATTTTCTGACATCATGCTCTGTGTTTGGTTAATACTGGGATCCAAGAGATATCTTACTCCATATTACTGTACTAATTTTGCAGATAAGGAAATGATGTCCAGTGAAAGTGAAAAGTCACCTGAACATTTATTGTTAATTATTTCTTACTTCCTGCACTACTATGCTTCCTCTGTTTGCCTCCAGATGTTTTTAGAAGTAAAAATAGGACGACTCCTACATATGCACTCACTGTCTCATACTGTGAGTGAGCATTTAGTAGTGGATGTCAACCTTCACTTCCACTAAATACCAGTGATTTCCACTTCCAATCCACCACCTTCCCCATCCCACTTCTTTCAGAGGTCAGGATTTTTTTCTGTAGCTTTCATCATTTTTAATTATATTTTATTTGATTATGCTATTACAGTTGTGCCAATTTCCACCCCCCATGTCCCTGTCCACCTAGCTCCCCACACTCCCTCAGGCAATCCCCACACCATTGTTCATGTCCATGGGTCATGTATATAACTGCTTTGGCTACTCTATTTCCTATACTGAACTTTACATCACCATGACTATTCTGTAACTACCTATTTGTACTTCTTAATCCCCTCACCTCTTCACCCATTACCCTATACCCATTATCCTATTGGCAGCCATCAAAATGATTCTGTCTCTATTCTTGTTTGCTTCGGGTTTTTTTTTTAGATTTGACTGTTGATAGATTTGTATTTATTGCCATTTTATTTTTCATAGTTTTGATCTTCACTTTTTAAATAGTCCCTTTAACATTTCATATAATCTAGGCTGGCTGCTACTAGTGCTGGGCCTGTGACTCACTGAGGCCAGCTGTTGCTTGTTTGATAGAATTTAGGAAGTTGTGAAACATGAGCAAAGACCAGCCATTCGCATGGAAAAGCAGCTTAAATGGGTCTGTTAGTTGGTTGGGGCAGAGTCTGTGGGGATCTCCAAAGCAGCTGAACAGAGTTAGCCAGGTTGATGGAGTCTCAGATGTGGCACCAGCTTGCCACCTCAGTCTGGATGGCTGTGGTTTCTTTAATTCCACAGTCATCAGACTTCCATTCAACTCAATTTCTGATGATTCTGAGTGAAAGCTGTTCTATATATATATTTTTTTAAATATTTATTTATTTATTTTTAGAGAGGGAAGGGAGGGAGAGAGAGAGAGAGAAACATCAATGTGCAGTTGCTGGGGGTCATGGCCTGCAACCCAGGCATGTACCCTCACTGGGAATCGAACCTGCGACACTTTGGTTCGCAGCCCGCGCTCAATCCACTGAGCTACGCCAGCCAGGGGAAAGCTGTTCTATATTTTAGTTGTAATTTTGATGTGGTTGTGCAAAGAGGCAAGACAAGTCTACCTATGCTACCATCTTAATCTGAAGTCTCTTCTGTAGATTTTATTGAACATTTCCACCTGCAATGTTGAGGAGAAAAAAAAACTTGAGAAGCAGCATGCTAAAAAATTGAAATGGTTAAAATATTCCATAATTGTGCCAATTCCTCTTAAAATGCTAACATTCTTTTCTTAAAATAATTATCTCATTTTTTTCTCTCAGCTCTGGCTGCATTACCTCTTTTACTTTCTCGAATTTGAGATCTGTATATTTTTGATTCTGAAATTTTCAACCTTGAGCCTTCTCTTGAGTTGAATACATATTTTTTTCAGATACCTAATTGCCATTAACCAGGAGTACTATATGTTTTCGAATACAACAGGTTCTTTTCCAAAGTCTTTATTTTCAGTCATCCCAGCTGTGTATTCTTTTTAAATTATATTATTTATTCAGGCTCTGAAGCTAGAGTCTGTGTGTCATCCTTTACTCTTCCCTCAATCTTAGTCCCCACATCTAATTAAGTGTCAAATTTTCCCAAGTTTACTTTTGAAATACTTGTCAAATTTGACTTACTGTCTCCATTCTTATCTCCATGCCTTTGTGAAGGTAGTGCCATAATCTACACTAGTGTCTTTGTACTCTAGTCTAGTCCATTTTACAGGAACAATGTAAAGAACATTTATTGAATTTTTATAACGTGCCAGGCACAGTGTTAAGGTGTTAGTCAGAAAAAGATAGAGACTCAACCCTTATTCAGAAGGCCTGCATTGTGATAGGTAAATTTCCCTTTTTGTACTCACTGATCTTCCTTTCTTTCTATTTATACACTTTTTCTTCCTTCTTTTCTTTTATCTTCACGATATCTTGACGATACAAACTCAATACAAGTAATTAAAATCTGTTGACACTTTTACTCATTTATTGATTAGCATCCTCAAATCTCATTCTGAAAATTTTCAAATACGCGAATATGAAATGTCTATTACTTACAGCATTTCTGAGCTATTTAAAAGTACATACCTAATTTTGAGATAAGTTGCAGTGAGATCAGAAAATGATTTAAAAAAAGCTTAGAGGTAAAGTACATGGTTGTGAAATATGAAGAAAACTAGTATTTTCCAAAGCATTTTAGCTTGTTTTGGTAGAATACATGTTAAATTCTATTATGTCCTAAGTGCTGCAAAATCAAGTTCCTTTTAAAAGAATATTTTTAAACAAAAGCATCTACTTAAAATTTTTTAGGTATTTTCAGAGGAGTTTTTAGTGTGCTAATTTTTTTCTATAGTTTATGAAGAAGTGGTTGTCAGATTTAATGAGGACTTTTCCGTTGTTGATAGGTACACACTGGTGGATATTTTGCGTGCCATCTTGCTGTCTTTAGAAGCCATGATTGAAGACCCCGAGCTCCAAGTGAATGGATTTGTTTTGATCATAGACTGGAGTAACTTCACCTTCAAGCAAGCCTCTAAACTTACACCCAGCATGCTACGATTGGCTATTGAAGGCCTTCAGGTAAAGATTTGCAAATTACCCACTCTCTTGGTCTCCCTCTTTTGACTCATCTAATCCATTAGAATAACAAAATGTCTTACTTGAGGAATAAAAATAATTTTTATACAGTTTTCAAATGCAAACATTAAAACACTAACTGGACAAAGGGTTTTAGAAGAAAAACTGAGGACGTGGGCCTGTTAATAAATGAGAATTTGTACTATTTCGTGCAAACCCTCACTATGCCTACACTTAAATATGGGTGGAGATGACCTGAGATTTTTATCTTGAGAATCAGAATAAGTAACATCTTTTCAGTTTTAAGGACTGTTTAAGCTTGCTTTTATTTCTTTCTCCTTTTCTGTGTATATTAGTTAAGTGTTAAATGTTTGCTTCATTATTTCATTTAACCTGGTGAACTTGTGATGTGAGGGGCAATATCTTCATATTGCCTAAAAAACTTGTAAAATCAATCAAAATCATTTTGATCTCCGAGCTACAGAATCACTGTTTTCAATTACTTTTCTAGACTTAATTGGGGTTTTTGTTCTGTTTCCATTTTGGTAGAAGGGCTATCACATAGAATTTATACAGGAATGGTCTATCTTCCAGTGAATGACATTTAACTGATTGGGAATCATAAAATGGAAAATCAATCATTATTTAGTGGTATGTCATAATTAGTTAATGGCTGATTGCTCCCTAAAAATGAGCTACTTCTTCAGGTGGCAGGACAGCTTAACCAAATTGAACTCACAGTTTGAGTTTTGCCTCTGCAGTGAATAAGACACTGTGATCATTTTTCTCTGCATAGGCTTTTTCTGATGCACATTTCCTGACTTGCTTTTGGTGAGTCACTCTTGCTCCTGTCTTATCTTTTTTTTTTTTAAGATTTTATTTATTTATTTTTAGGAAGGGAAGGGAAGGGAGAGAGAGAGAGAGAGAGAGAGAGAGAGAGAGAGAGAGAGAGAGAGAGAGAGAGAGAGAGAGAGAGAGAGAGAAACATCAATGTGCGGTTGCTGGGGGTTATGGCCTGCAACCCAGGAATGTACCCTGGCTGGGAGCTCCTGTCTTATCTTGAATGACACTCTTGTTTAACTCCATAGAGAGAGTTAATAAGGTTGGGAGAGGGACAAAATGATGCATATTTTAGAATGTGCCCTATCACTGGCAGTGTATAAAGTGTTGGTTATTTTATAAAGAAAATCAGTTGCCACCAACCATGTTACTTTTAAGCAGGATATAACCTAGCTTTTTAGAATTGCTATCACTATTTAACTTGTGCTTTCTCTTTACACTAGAGGTAGACTAGACTTTTAGCTGCATGAAGGACTGGAGAACTCATTTTGCAGGAACTCAAAAAGCCATCTCAAGGAGAGACTCAATGCCTTCCTATATGCCAACTTGTACACTATATGGAGACAGTTAGTAATAAGATCTGAGTAAGCAGGATTGATGCCTCGTGGCTGCCTGTTGGGAAGCCACTTAAAATAAATGAGTTCTTCCTACCAATAAATTTGACATATTATTAACCTTTAAACTCAATGTTATCTTCAGGTCAAACTAATTATTTAAATGTTCCATATATGTCTATATGTGTCTATGTCTCTGTACTATATTTAGAAACAATGGTAATTTTGAATAGTATTATAAGATGTGCTAAAAATGTTCCATTGTAACATGCATAATTTCATATTTAGCCTTATATAGAAGTTACATTTCCTGACTTTTTAAATCAAGTCTTTGTTAATTTTTCACTTACCATGTGAGAAATATTATTGTGCATTGATATACGTTTCATGCAGAGCATGAGTAAACTTATTTTTGAGATTGACGTCAGACCATAAAACATTTTCATTAAAGATACATATTCAATTTTTTGTCACTAAACACAACTAATAGCATCATCAAAACCACCAACACTATCACAACAATAAATAACTTCCAGTTAGTCTAGTCAGGGAAATTAAGATATGGTATTTTATTTATTTTTACATTTTGATGTGAGAATATTTTAATAACTCAGTGACAGTTTATATCATGTCATAATTCTGCTATAACATGTTATTTACACTGAGGTAAGTGTAAAAAATATTGCAGTGAGTTGGACCAAAAATAAGAAAGGCTACAAATGGGTCTAGTGCCAGAAAGGAAACTTACTTTAATGATATGTATTACTAATGAGATGTAACTGTGTTTTGAGGGGGCCCCATCTCTCTTCCTTTTGAATTTGCTGCATAACCTCTCTATCTTCACACACTAACCCCCTTTTTCCTCAAGCAAAAGGGTATTTTGAGTGATCCACCTAGCGATAGCACCTGATAGCATAGTTAAAGACATGTAGACCATTGCTAGAAGATCCGCCTGTGATCACTGCACAAGGTCCATAGAGAGACAGTGTGGAAGGTTGAAAATAAAAATGGGTTATAGAGACAGACCCAGCTTTGGAAGAAAATTCTGCCATGTAGCAAATACTTGGTCAAATTCCTGAAAGTTTTTGAATCTCAGTCTGTTCATTTATATCAAATTTAAAGTATTTTATTAGAAGTGATAAATCTTATTATATTTTGCTTGCTTATATTAAAGAACAAACTGACAGTATCCAGAGGAGAGAGGACAGGGGGATAATGGGGGTAAAAGAGGAAGGTCTATCAAGGAACAGGTATAAAAGACACATGGACAAAGTCAAAAGGTATAGGTTTGAGGGTGGGAGATGGGGATGGGTGTGGGGGGTGACGTGGGGTGAAAATGGAGACATCTGTATTTGAACAACAATAGAGAGAGAGAGAGAGAGAGGGAGGGAGGGAGAAAGAAAGAAAGAAGAAAGAAAGAAAGAAGAAAGAAAGAAAGAAAGAAAGAAAGAAAGAAAGAAAGGAAAAGAAAAGAAAAGAAAAGAAATACATCTTGCACCTAGCAAGTGATGTCAATGATGAAAGTAGTTGATCTGCATGAGTTCATATTTTTCAGGTGCCCCAGTTTTCTGCACATGTGCTGGTTTTCTCACAATTACAGTGACCACCTGGATAGTGAAGACTTAACATTGATTGACACTGGGAATCTGAATGATCTCATATTTTGCATTTAGTGCTTAGATTGTAGATGCACAGATTGACTTTTTACAAATCACTTCACTGTGTGGTTAAATAGTGTCTAGATATGTTCATGTTAGGTGCCAAATAAAATATTTTTCCATGTTGGAAGCCAAGCAAAAATGAGATCGTTTCATCTAGTGAAAAATAATCTTTCTTTTAGAAGAATCTCCAGGCAGGCAACGTTGGAAAGGTGGTGATTGTGGAGATATCCTTGACCTTGAGTGTTGAACAAGAGTTTTTGCTAAATTGACAAGGACAGGGAAACTTTGGGAAAATGATTTTGAAGAAACCTACAGCCACAGGGGGGTAGAAGTACATGATAAATCTGTTTTCATACGGTAAAAATGAGAAATGAATTGAAGGTAATGACCAGCAATGATCTGGGAAGAGCAGGCTGAACCTTGTCTCCATGGGAGGGATGCCCAAGCCACAGGCCACGGGTTGCATGTGGCCCAGGATGGCTATGAATGTGGCCCAACACAAAACCATAAATTTACTTAAAACTTTTTTTTGCTCATTAGTTTTCAATAGTATTTTTGTATTTAATGTGGACCAAGATAACTTTTCTTCTTCCAGTGTGGCCTAGAGACGCTGAGACCTCATTGAATGGCACACTCTGCATTTAGGCCTGTGTTTTCAGACATGGGGGGATTTTGGACAAGAAAGTGACCTGGTCACTACTTTGCCTCAGGAAGAACTCTTGGGTAGAAGAATGAACTTGGATCAAAGGAGGGAGGGTTTAGATCTAGTGCATCCCAAACTATGTCGTAGATGATTATGTGGATTCCATTTTGTAAGACAGGAAATGAAACTTAAGGGAATTTGACACTCAAATTTTCTTAACTGACTTCAAGGCTTGAGTCCAAGTTGGCCAACTCCACAGACCAACGGCTCTCCTGAATCGTGTTGCTTCTATTGTTTCCAGGCCTGTGCTTACAAAAAAGTGGGCAAGCTCAGTTAAGAGTAACTTGCCTCCCCATGCCAAATTCTCACATGTTAATACAGGTGAAATTTGTTTATTGTGATAAACAAGGCAGTGCTAACTGGCCTTGGCACTTCTTTTTCTGACAGCAAGTGGTAGAACCATTTCTTTCCCCTTGACTGACTGCCAGCTTCCCAGTGCCCTGTGAGTGAGGCCAAGGGAAGAGCCTTTCATCTGATAGCCAAAGAGAACTCACAACAACACAACCCAAAATTTGTAAGCCACTCATGATATTGGTTTAAGGAAATTCTATATGCTTTTTCTGTGCAGAATATTCAAGCATTTTTTAAAATGGAAAGCATCACACATTTTTACCAACAAAATGTAGTTCTTTGATATAGATAAGAGGCAACATCAGATATTTTGTTGGAAATAAAGTACTCAAGCTTCATTGGAAAGAAAAGAGAAAGAGAAAATTGTCTTGCTACTTACAAGAAGTTAATTGATTAGGGTAGTTATAGTAACAGGAAGGCTCTTAGAAAATCAATACAAGATTAAGTGGAAGTGACTTGTAGACTCTCATACATCTGCCTGGGAAACCCATTAAAGCATGAAATGTTTGGAAATACCTGGAAAAACTTAGACTTTTTGAATTTACAGAGAAGTGATGTGCTTTTTATATATTTTTTGGTTACAATTGTTCTATTTTTATTTTTTCTTATAAAATATTACCACTCAAAATCCTTTGATAATGAAAAAACAAACTCTCTTATAAATCCAGAAACTTTTATTTGCCAATTTTTAAAAACATTATCCAAATCCTGTATGTATGTCCTGTATGTCCAAAGGTTTGTCATCCTTTGGATATGTTTATCCATTACTTTTCCCTTAGCTCTGTCCTGTCTTGTCTGTGCTTTGCTTTCACAATTTCACAGGAATCCCCAAACTCTATCTGCTGAAAAGGACATAATGTAGTCAAGATGTGGGTCTGTTGGCAAGGGGTTCAG